ATCAAGAACTACAAGTCCTTCGGCGTCGTCTCTAACCCTAACTTCCTCGGCGTCCGTTCTCGCACTTCCCACATCATCGAGAGCGACTCTCTGCAAGTCCCTGATCCTCGGCTCTCCGATCAATCCGCCGATGAGTTGGAGCTCATTGATTCCGGAAGTGATCTCGAAGAAGATGGTTAGCTCTCGCCTTTTCTCTCTCTGTGTAGTGTATATATTTCTTGTTTGATGTATATTGTTGCTTGCTTAACTGCGGATTTAGATTGATATTTGGTTTGTATCCTCTCGTTGGTTTGGGGAAAAATCTCCTATTAAATGAAATAACAAACATCATATCAGTTGATCTTTATCATATGAAATTGTTGTTTTTATTGTTTTTGTGCCAATAGCAGATTATTCATATGAATTTTTCTTCTTGATTTCCTATTTACTGTATAGTTGATTACTGTAGTTATTGATGCGAGATCATTTTTGAGTTTTTGATGGAGATTGTCAGTTGGAATTCTTAATGTTTTCCTTTCTCTGAAAGTAAAGTTAATCCTTTTAACAGAAAGGAAACTGAAATTGCATAGCCCATTTGTTTCTTGTATTGATGAACAATTGATAATATGCTGTTACTTTGCTATTTGCATCTACAGACTTGAAAAAAGCACTTGGAAAGAAGTGAAGAGATGGAAAAACCACGAGATTTAAACCATTGACTGCCATGCAACGAGTTCATGTTGGCCGACTGATAGAGAAGTATGGAGACGATTACCAGGTTAGACATGATTTTCATATGCCAGGAATTCTGATAAATGTTCTGGGTGATAGGATATTACCAGTATCATCCCTTACTAACGTACTTGTTTCGCAGGCAATGTTCATGGATACAAAACTAAACCAGATGCAGCATTCAGTTGCAACACTGGAGGACTTGTGCAAGAGATACCACATGTTTGGCGATAAAAATCCGTTGATAGTGTCTGGTTGAGATTGGTCCATTTCCTTATTGTCAGATCTTTTGAGCTTGTAACAGTATCGCGTGATACCCATGAAAGTTATATAACTTATACGGATGAGCTAGTGATCTTATTAGTGCAACTGAAATTCCTGAAATCCCCTTTGGTTTGTTACACTCTTCTTTCAAACTTTCATACTTACTCTCCTCTTTATGTTAGTTGAAGACTTGAAGGAAATTAAATGATTTAAGTGTTGAGAATGTATCCTATGAGTAAAAATGCATTTGTCATAATAAAGGCAAAGATTAATTTCAAACTCCAATAGAGTTTCCTTATTGTGCATTCTATGAAGCGGGTCCCAACTTCCAACTATGAGTATTGAGTTGAAATTACATGGATAATGTAGAAAATCATGAGAAGATGAAGGCCAACATGGTTAGGTTACTCTTTCTTCTTCCTGGGGTGTGCTGACTAGGTCTTGTTTTCTAACTGTGTTTGTAATGAGGCTTTTAAAGTTATAATGGAGATAAATTAGAAAAAGAATTAGATTGCAGTGAATGCCAACATCTTACATCTTGTTAGAATCCCTAATACTTCTCCTTGTTAGAATCCCTAAAATTCCTCCTCTAATTGATATGTAAATAGCTGTATCAGATTATTTTTCTTTATTACTCTTGATTTTATTTCCATTGTAATTAGAAAAACTATCCATATTTAGAATAGGTCAACCCCTATATACTGTACTGTTTTTCATCATCAAATGAAGAAATATTTTACCCTAAATTCTTCATGGGATCAGAGCCAACCTTAGGCTGTTAGAATTCTTGGCCTTCATTGCCGCTTTATCTTGGTTCTGCTTTCATTGCAACCAACTTGCTACTCTATTTCTTGAGTTCTCTTTGAAACTAGGATTGGCCTTCAATGCCAAAGCTAGCTTCACTTCAAAATGTCAAACAATTCAACCAATATCCAGAGACCCAAAGAAGTATCCCCCCAGGAGATGGTGACTCAAAATGAAGAAAAGTTTAAGGAGTTCAATCAAGAGGAGATTGAGAGGCTACGAAGTCTTCTTGATTCACTTAACAAAACTTTAGGCTCTTGTTCTCTCGCTCAAGCTGGTATGTGTCTCTTAACAAAATCTCCTAAAGTTTCTAGTACTGTTTCATGGATTATTGATTCAGGTGCAACTGACCACATGACCTACAACCCTACTGCCTTTGATTCTTATAAACCTATTCTAGGAAACTAGAAAATTATAGTAGCAGATGGATCCCCTATCACCATTGCTAGCCAAGGAAGTATTTGCTTATCACCCTCAATTTCTTTGAGGAATGTTTTGCACATTCCAAAACTATCCACTAATCTCATTTCCATCCACAAAATTACCAAAGATCTCAATTGCAAAATAATCTTTTTTGATTCTCATTGTATTTTTCAAGATCTGGCTTCGAGAAGGATGATTGGATTTGCTAAAGAACGAGATGGGTTGTACCATCTTGAAGAGTTGCGAAGTTGTGGAATGAAGGAGAACCAACTTCTTTTAACCCATTCAATTCCATTAAATAAAACTGAGGTATGGACTTACCATCTCCGCCTTGGTCACCCTCCTTTCCAAATGTTAAAGGGCATGTTTCCTACCTTATTTAAGGATGTTTCTGTTCAAGACTTCCATTGTGACATTTGTCAATTTGCAAAACATCGACGTGTCTCTTTTCCTCCAAGTTTTATAAAATGCAATAAACCTTTTTATTTAATTCACACTGATATTTGGGGACCTTAAAAAATTCCTAATGTCAATGGGGCAAGGTGGTTTGTGTCTTTTATAGGTGATTGTACTCGTACAACATGGCTTTTTCTCATGAAAGAGAAATCTGATGTTAGTACTCTATTTCCCAAATTTCATAAAATGATTTCCACCCAATTTGGAGAAAAAATAAGAAGAGCTCATTCTGATAATGCTAAAGATTATTTCAATAGAACTCTCTCCTCATTCTTTGAGACAGAGGAAATTATTTATGAGTCATCCTGTGTTGAGACACCCCAACAAAATGGGGTTGTTGAATAGAAAAATAAGCATATCTTAGAAGTTACTTGGGCAATTTTATTTCAATCCAATGTTCCTAAAAATTTTTGGGGTGAGGCAATCTTGACTATTGCTCATTTAATTAATCGACTCCATTCTAGAGTCTTGGGAAACAAAAGTCCCATCCATGCTTTATTTAATTTCTTTCCAGAATCTGTTTCAATTAGAAGTCTTCCTCCAAAAATCTTTGGGTGTGTTGCTTATCTTCATATTCATAAGACACACAGATCCAAATTGGATCCTAGAACTCAAAAGTGTATTTTTATAGGTTATTCTCCCACACAAAAAGGGTACAAGTGGTATGACCCCTCCAGTAGGAGAATTCTTATCTCTCTAGATGTCACATTTAATGAAGTTGAGTCATTCTTGAAATCTTCCCGATCTCATCCTCAAGGGGAGAGTGTTTTGGGTGAAGATGAACATTCTGGTTCCATTTCCTTTCTAGAAGAACTGGGTGGTCTTAAATCAGCTAAGCCAAGTTCCCTAAATTCCCCAAGTAACCCAATTGAACTTGAATCAACCATGCCTAACCTCCAACTACAGCCTTCCTCACAACCTGCCAATCCTAAAATTGTGCCTAATCCTGGAGTCACTACAAAATCACAAGAACAAAATTTGGTTCAACCTCCATCAAAACAACTGAAGCCATATTCCAAGAGGGTACAACCTGCACTAGTCCAGCAGCAAATACATGAATCCGACTTGAGTTCAGGTAGTGAAAATACTCCAATTATACCTCTATCTGATGCTACTAAATCTACTTTAATTGATAGTCAACCTAGTTTAGATCCTGACCATTCTCTCCCCATTAGCATAAGGAAGGTTACAAAAAGGTGTATCTAACACCCCATATCCAATTTTATATCCTCTCATCGACTTTCTCCTCAACACCAAAGTTTCCTGTCCACCTTGAACTCAATCAAAACTCCAAAAACAGTACATGATGCTTTAAGAGATAGGAATTGGGCATGTGCCATGATTGAAGAGATGAATGCTTTAGATAAAAATGAAACTTGGGACATTGTTACACGTCCTAAAGAAAGAAGAATAGTGGGGTGTAAATGGGTCTTCACAGTAAAATTTAAAGTTGATGGAACACTTGAGAGGTATAAGGCAAGGTTAGTTGCGAAGGGTTACACACAGACTTATGGGGTTGATTATCAGGAAGCTTTTGCTCCAGTGGCAAAGATGAACACTGTCAGAATTTTGTTATCTCTTGTTGCTTACTTTGATTGGGGACTTCAACAATTTGATGTGAAGAATGCATTTCTTCATGGGGAGTTAGAGGAAGAGGTAAACATGGAACCAACACTAGGATTTGAAAGAAACTTTGGCCTTGATAAAGTCTGCAAGCTAAAGAAGGCATTATATGGATTGAAATAGTCGCCAAGAGCTTGGTTTGGAAGATTTACTAAGGCAATGGTGAGATTTGGGTACAAGTAGAGTCAAGGTGACCATACCCTCTTTATTAAACATTCAGCAAAGGGGAAGATTATTGTGTTACTGGTATATGTGGATGACATTATAGTTAATGGAAGTGATGAAGAAGAAAAAAGGAGGCTCAAGGTTCAATTGGCTAGAGAGTTTGAAATCAAAGAACTTGGCAAGCTAAAATATTTTCTAGGAATTGAAATAGCCTACTCCAAACAAGGAATATTTATGTCTCAAAGGAAGTAAGTGCTAGATCTTCTCAAGGATACAGGCACCCTAGGAAGTAAAGCCTCTAGTACACCAATTGATTCAAATCACAGAATCGGTCGATATGACAAGGGAGGATCAGTCAACAAAGGACAATACCAAAGATTGGTTGGAAGGCTAATTTATCTCTCACACACTCGACCTGATATAGCCTATGCTGTAAGTGTTGTTAGTCAATTTATGCATGACCCAAAGGAAGAACATTTACATGCAGTTTAATGAATTCTTCAGTACTTAAAAGCATATCCTTGAAAAGGCATTTTGTTCTAGAAAGGGAAAGAACTAGTAGTGGAGGGATATATAGATGCTGATTATGTTGGGTCTCTAACAGATAAAAGGTCTACCACAGGCTACTGCACATTTGTAGCAGGGAATCTAGTTACTTGGAGAAGCAAGAAGTAAAATGTTGTTGCCAGATCGAGTGCAGAAGCAGAATTTCGAGCCATGGCACAGGGAATATGTGAACTTTTATGGCTTAAAATTATCCTAGATGATTTGAGGATTAGGAGAAGTGGGCCAATAAGATTATATTGTGACAACAAGTTTGTTATCAATATCGCTCACAACCCAGTCCAACATGATAGGACTAAACACATCAAGATTGATAGGCACTTCATCAAAGAGAAGTTGGATAGTGGACTAATCACTACACCCTATGTGTCATCTAGAAATCCGTTGGCAGATATTCTGACCAAAGGACTTCCTGCTTCAAGATTTCAAGAGATTACAAGCAAGCTGGGAATGAAAAATACCCATTCACCAGCTTGAGGGGGAGTGTTAGAATCCCTCAAACTTCTCCTTGTTAGAATCCCTAAAATTCCTCCTCTAATTGATATGTAAATAGCTGTATCTTAGGAGATTATTTTTCTTTATTACTCCTAATTTTATTTCCATTGTAATTAGAAAAACTATCCATATTTAGAATAGGTCAGCCCCTGTATACTATACTATTTTTCATCGTCAAATGAAGAAATATTTTACCCTAAATTCTTCACATCCCACTGAAATTAAAGGAATTTATAAAGGTACATCAACAAAAGTATTCATGAAGAATATTTACAAGATTTATTATGAAATTAACATGAGCTAGTTTTAGAGACTCAAAACAGAGCATTGTTAAGCAACTGAAAACCAAAACATCTAAACTCCAGGATCTCAGGATCTCTTAACCTGACAAAGTACGAGAATAGAAGATAGAAAGAACTGCATAACTAGACACCATTGAATGCCCGACGCAAGGATTCCCAGTGCTCCTTATGCTGCTTAATCCTCTCTAGTCTTTCTGTCTCACGCCTCTGTTCCCAGTACTCTCGACATCTGTTAACAAAAAATATGTATGCATTATGCATGCAAGAAATTTTTTGTGGGATTAGAAGCAGAGCGTTAATCATTTGCCCCTCTTATATTTAAACACTAAAAAGGATACTAAAGTTCAGAAAGAAAGCATCAAACTTTTGATTTCCTAAACAGCAATCAAAGACACCATAGATGGAAACATACCTTCTGCTTAATAAAATGTTAAGCTCTTCCAAATGTACAGCACCTTCATGCACTCCTGTCTGAACTCAAAACCAAATCAAGTTATGAAATGAAGATAAACTACTCCCAAAAGATATGTCGTTTTACATTATTGCATTGATTCTCAGTCGATAACTGAATATTGTAAATATTCCAATAATCAACATGCCACCCTTCAACTTCAACGGACTTGGAAAGCCAACAAAGCGCAGAGTAGTTTATGTTTACATGGATATAGTTTAGCTGGGATTGAGACAGAGTAAACTTATTGAGAATTTGACCTCAGCAGATCAGATGCATCCAAAATTATCAATCTCACTGTCTCTATTAGAAATAATGAAGTATTTTACCCAGAAAAATAAATAAATAAATAAAACTACAGGAAAATCATGGAATTGTTAATAATGATAGAATTATAGATATAGACACTCACCTCTCGGCATAGAGCACACTTTTCTTTAGGCTCAACTGCTTTTAGTCCATCTACAATATCCACTGATGCAGCTGAGCAAGCACACATGTAGCAGAATATATGGCCACATGTCAGTGAAACCGGATCAAACACTGTATCCTGTTACACAGAGGAATAAATCAAATCATGCATTAAATTATGCCAGTCTTATGAAGGAGTACAATAAGAACGATCACTAATGTTCTGGTTCATTGGTCAAGGACAATAGGACAATGTGAAATGCACAAGAAAAATACTCATATCTTTATCGTGAAAATGCTTTATGAATTTAAGATATAGGAGATTTGAGATTTAAAATTTGACAAGTTTCAAACGTAGATTTTGCGTGAAGACAGAAAACTTCATTTCTAAAGATGTGCTTAATAGTTTCAGAGCAATTTGTGTTCAAGCATGCATGGATAATAAATGAGAGAAGATTAACAATTGTTCTTATGTTAGAGGTGATTTATATTTCCAGACTCCAGCATGAACTTAGTTCTGCTGAAAAAAGGACAGAAGCATCCCTACAGAAGACATGGCGAAAGATTAATTGCAGCATTCAAGCAGAGTATATGCCACAAAAGAGTAGTATAATTAAATCATTTCCTTATTTCTCTAATCTGTTTCAGAAAAAAATGACAGATATTTTATTTATTTGATGGCAAATTGTTTATGATTACTAGGTGCAAGAGAGGTGAATATTCAAATATTAAATAATCTCTAGGAACTTACCAAGCATATAGAACAAGTGAGGTC